AGGCCGTTGTTAAGAACTCTTAGTAAAGCGGAGTTTGTGCTATGCAGCGTTTTAAAATGAAATTGGAAGACTTTCACTACATCCTACACATTCAGTAATGAATTTATTTGAGCATGCACAACTGTTACCATCTCACCATGCTAGACTTCACAGGTGCTGCATTCTCCTGCTGTGGTAATTCCTCATAGTCATCCCAGCGGATGAGTCTTGGCAGGTCAGTGCTGTGTCGAGACAGAGATCTCAATGGAAGAGACTTGAGGGGAGACAAACTGGGAAATCTATAACAAAAGGAGACATCAATGCACTCAGTGGAGTACCACACACACAAAATCACATGTGCTTCACTGTATCACCTGACTTCATAAAATCATCAAAATCAGCATCACACAGTTTCCATCAAACGAAAAAAACCACAGTGATCATTGTCAATTCATGCAATAGAGGATAGCATATGCACTTTTCCAAACAATGACACATTTGCTTTTTTTCCTCCTGATAATCATAATGGTGCTAAAGACTCACTAACAAAAGTTAGGATAAGTATTGGAAGAAAGAGAAAAGGAAAACAGACAAAAGACCATTTTTTCATCCTGCAAGGAGGGGAACATTTCAGACTACTGCACTAACAGACTTTGATTCTCTCCTCCTTCATCTATAAGTGCTTCAAACAAGGCGTATGCAGAAATATTTGCTACAATTGGATTATTGTCTGTGTTTTATGTCGTGTTCTGCTGTATTATTTTTGTTATTTTATGTTCAATGTTCTGTCAAGCACTTTGTTACAGCTGCAGCTATTGTGAAAGCACTATATAAAAAAATATGTACAGTATTGTCTTGTACTGTACCAATTTTGGAACCATTTTTTGATGCTCACATTAACAAGTATGCGGTTAGCAAACAAAATGGGGCTGTGCACAGGGGTTGCACCCCACACCAACTGGTAGTTTGATGCCTTGCCAACATGTGTCTTTAGAGTAAGCAGTCCAGTCTCACACCTGTCCATTAAAAAGTATGTTTACCTGTACAAATGACAGTTATCTTCAAAGTCCTCCGTCCCATGGCGTCCCTTAATGTCTTCGATGACATGCGCCTTGAGGAACTTCCTAAGCAGCTGTAAAGTCTGGTTGCGAGTCACCTCTGGCCCAAAGTTGCAGTTGTGCCGAAGAAGCTGATGGAGATAATCCACAGCCTCCGATCCTGAAAAAGTGCAGTCATAGTAGCGGAGGTGCATCCAGTGTCTTCTTAATGGCATGCCACCACGGAAGAGTTGAATAGTTTCATTCCACTGTAAAACAGGAAATAGCCCACAAATGAGGAATTGCGACATTTTAAAAAGAAAACCCACGCAGACATGGGGAGAACATGCAA